CCTCTGTTGCATGCATTGCTGCATTTCCTTTTTACATGTGCTCCTCTTCATTTTTATGGCAAATGCATTTTTAAACACAGTCTCTGGGATAATTATTGCCATTAATTAGTTTTGATATTTCCTTTTTAATGATATTTTCATTTATTCCTTTTGCTAGCTGGATTGCCTTTTGCAATTCTTACTTCAAGGCATACCCCCTTCCAACGAGGAGTATTCTGTAATGATGAGTCCATCAAGTACCCTTACAAAGAAGACACCATACCTTATGCGTTATTAGGTGGAATAATCATTCCATTCAGTATTATCGTTGTAAGTTAAATCCACTTTTCCAAGTTTATCACTTTTGGGTAATTGGCTTAATTTTGTATTAATCTGTTAATGATTGAATGCATACCCCTCCAAAACAATGTGTTTTTTTAACTTTTAATTGAAAGTGTTATTTGATCAAGATAATCAGCTATTCTAAGTGGGACCAAAAGATTAACAGTGTATATTAGAAGAACCTTACTGAATATGTGTAGGTTTTTATGCTAATCTTGTCTAAGTCACTGTGATTTTTAGAGCTCTAATTTTCTATTGTTTCAGTAATCATGCAATAGTTGAATGTAATATCAATATATTTCTAGCATACTTTATACTTAGGATATTATTTTATAATTTGTTGAATCTGTGTGTAGGTATCTACTTTCTAGTTACTGAATTCTAGAAAACACAAATTGCTAACTGATGTTAAGACTTCATTTAACTCATGTTTACTTTAAAGAATTTTTAGATAATGCCAGAAATGGGAGAGAAAAGCTAAAGTTCTATGTATAATTAGCAGTGAACACAAAAGAATTTTGACTAGTACTGAAACACAGTAGTAACTGTTTTTTAGGATTTCAGGCAGAAATTATTAGAGAATCTGCTCCAGGGAAGACTTCAAGTGATTGGACTAGATGATATTTATAATCTCTTGACCCAGAGATACTATGACTTAGATTAAGTATTTTTATGCTCCATAACTTGTAACTTTAGAAACAAGATTTATGTTAGTTAAAAGCAGAAAATGTAGTCCCATCCAGGAAATAGGCCAACATGATAATAGCATATATATCTTGTCTGTTTTGGAGTTTACTATTAAAAAAAAAAAAGAAAATTCTTACTTTAGAAATGTAATGTCTTATTCAAGAATGATTACAGCTCCTTATTAACACTAAAAGTTAATCAACTCATAATTTGTGGTGCATAATTAATAAAAGAAAACCTCTGCCATACAAGTATTTGTTTCATGAGACTGTGAGCTCCTTGAAGGCAGAGAGGGTGCCTTGTTCATCTTCGTATCCTCGTTGCTTGCCCTGGAGCCTGGCATGTCCCAGGTGCTGGAATGGAACAGAAGCAGTTACACAGTAACATTGGTGACTCTCCTACAGTGTGGTGACGTTTTCAGATATCAGTGGATCCCTTTAATCTAAACAAATCTTTACACTAAGTTTTTACTACTAAAAGAAAGCCAAGCCTGTGATTCTTGCATTAAGGAGGGAGTAAGAGTAGGGTCTTTTTTTTTTTTTTTTTTTTTTGAAGTATATCTGTTTCTGAGAGATTACTAATTATTTAAATATAAAATTTTTAGGAGGACTCTTAGTTGCAAATAGTAGCTGATTTCAGACAGGCTTTGAGTACTCAGACACTGCTACAAATGTACCTGTCTTCCAATTCTACACAATTTTCTTTGTGTCTCAGTAAAAAGGATGCTGCACAAGCAAAACTACATAAATCTGCTACAAACCAGAGGCCTGCAGTGGGGCTGCCAGGCACTGTGCGGGCACTGCGCGGGCGTGCAAGCCCACACAGCAAGTGCAGGGCCCGACAGGGCACTCAGCAAAAACTCCATATTTATATTGCATTAACTTGGAAATTTTGACTATTTCAACATCACCTGTGAGAAAATTATCTTTATATTTAATAAAACAGCAAGTAAATTGAGTGTAGTTTTCTTTAAAAAGAACAGACTGTGTGAAGGTGCTATAAAAGTACTGTTTTCATATCAACCGTATCAACAAATACACACACTGCTTAGGGCAGTGGTTAATGTACTAATTTAAAATAACCTAAGTTTATTCATTAGCTCAGCTTCTTTCAGGCAACACTTAGACTTGTATATATTTAATCTTATTTACTAGAAAGTAAATCATTTCTTTAAATCTTAAAATCAGGATGATTCAGATTTCATAGCAGGCCTTTGAGGTGACTTGCAAATGATCTACAAATACGTGAGTGCTTGAGGGAGCCTGGGAGAGAACCAGAATTAATATAGTTTCTCAGAAGCCTTTCTTCAATAAGGTGGAAATGGTCAGTGATGTTAAATACTACTGAGAAGGTAAATGACGGTTGATAAAAATCTGTTTTAGCTGATGAGACCATTTTAACTTTTGAGAGAAATTCAGTAGAATAAAGGGAATGGACATAGTTAGAGATATTTAGGAAGGAATGAAAGTATGCTAGTGATTATTTAGACTATTCTTTTGGGAAGGTAGGCCCTGAATGGAAGACACGTAACTATAGGGACAATATACAGATGTATAAAATCATCTTGGTTGGTGGAGATATAAAGGAGATGGTGAGAAAATATTGTGGTGCATAGGTTTTAAATGGTTGCATCACACTGATTTAGATAATTATTAGCTTTGATTTTTAAAAGTATTCTGTTTTACTCCCCCAGACATTATCTTTAGTTCTTTAATAATTTAGCCTATTTTTAGAATCTGAGTAAATAACGCATGATAAGTCATTCTAGCTCTATGATTAGGCCACAGTTAGCTTAAGTGTGGACTTTACTAAAGGCTAAGAATTGGCATAAATGGCTTGAAGGGCATGATAAGGTATTAAAATAAGATAAAAATATGGCTGTCATGTGTAAGTGAAATGCACAGACACATCCCTATATTTAGAAGAATCAATTTAGAACTTCTCTATTGTCTGTTTCTCTCAATAAAGATGGAGCACATAATAAAAAATGATGTAAGTTACCTACCTTTTGTCAGCTTTAGTGTCCCCCTACCCTTCCCCAGTATTAAGGGTCAAGTTTCAGCTTACACTACTTCTGTAGGTCAGTTTTTAATCCATGCCCAGTGCTTAGAGTGCTCCTAGTGAGCTAACTTTTAGTCAGCAGTGGCAAGAACCAGAGTTTTGGTGGCCCTAAACAATGATCATTATGACCAGGAAGACACACAGATCAGTTCCTGGTCCTGGAAAATAGATGAGTGCTTCCGCAAGAAGAACAGCTGACAGCTGAGATGTGGAAGGTTCGACTGCTCAAATTGCGGTTGATTAATATACTTGGCATATATTTTAATTTATCAAAGATCAACTTCATAAAGAATCATTAGAGATCCTTTCTTGCTGCTAATCTGTTAAGGCAGTTCCTGGACCCCGTACAGTGTGAGGAGACAGTGTTTACTTTATATAAGGCCATCGGAGGCAGTGGGGCAGCAGCCCTGAGCCAAACTGCAGAGGGGTAGCACCCCTAGAAGTACACGTGGTTTTCTCTCCTGTGAGACCTGTTCCCAGAAAAGCATCTGTCATTCCCATTAAGGCCTATGATGAGGAGAAGATTTCAGTGGGGCTTATTGTGTTTCAACTAAGAATGTCTGCCTTTTACCCAAGAGGCAGCACCTTCAATTAAAATTTATTGACCACTACCCTGCTTTAGATCCCTGTGGTGGTTCTACCTTTCTATTCAATAACTAAAATTTTATTCCTGCTTTTGTAGAGTTCATAGTCTAGTTGTCAAAGTTATGACATTGGAATTCTAGGAACCATTGAAGTCAGATAAGGAAATAATTTTTGGTCAGGTTCTTGAAATCCATTTCAGGAGGCAGCCATTTATTTCACCTGTGGTAAGGCTCTCCTTGAAGAGAGTTAGCCTCACTAAATGGAAATGTTTGAATGCTTTGTAAAGTTGTTTGTTTAAATTTAAGCTGAGGCAGTGGAACTAGTGTGTATCTTAATTGAAACTTTGTGACTTCTATTCCGCCAATGTAAATTAGCAAGCAGGCTGTTCTTAAGTGTTTATTGTGGTCTCAGGTAGCTACAGTGTGGCTTATTTTATCAGCAAATGTAATTTTTTATAATGTTGTTATTCAGTATCTTTTGAATTTCTCAAAGTATTGGTCTGTGAACTTGTAAAGTATTTGGAATCCTTTTTTATGCCTACTTACGTGGCTCACATACACACTCTACTAGAATCTGGGGAGGCATTAATTCCAATTTTGCAAAAATCAGTGAAAAATAAAGAGGAAAGAGTCATTTCAGATGTTTTTTTGGAAAGGAGAGCATCAAGTGTGTGTTTGGTCTTTCAGTGAGACTTCTTAAGGAAGCCAGGCCTAAAGGTCTCCTGAGAGGCAGGACGGGGGCGCCCTGTCAGCTCATCTCTGCCCTCTGTACACTTCGGCCGCAGTGTTAGATCCCTATGTTAGATCTAACTACTACATTCTATATTAGATTCTATATTAGACTTTTTACTCCCTGAAACTGTTTTACTCTTTTTAATATGATGGATGTCTTTGATTCAAAGGAATGTTTGATAAAAATGAAGACTCGCAAATAAAAGTACTTATATAAGGGATGTTCTAATTGGGGAAGTTTGTGTTCTTTGAACAAAGCATGGTTTTTGCCCCTCGTGATACATAATTGCCCTTCATGATACATAATTTAACAAAAAACACTTGTTAAAACTCAGTTTGTTTGAATACAAGAAAAGAAATAAGGTCTTCTTGTTTCAGGTAGACTTTTCAATTATTTTGGCTCAGCCATTGCTTTGTAAGCAGTATCCACAATTGATCTGACACCTTGTTTTGTGGTTTAGAATTAGGTATTGTAAGTTGGCTCTCCATTTATAAAGGAAAAAAGGGAGTGTTCTTAAAACAGGTTTTGTGATTTACCATTTTCTTTTCTATTTTTTATTTTGTTTAAAATGCCTGGTTGCTGCTTTAACATATTGTTTTCTGTTTCTTTTTCAGATGATTATTGGAGAAACCCTGTCTGTTTACTTTAACCTCTTGCACTCAAATTCCTTTATCAGGAATAACTACATAGCCACTATTTACAAAGCCATTGGAACATTTTTATTTGGTGCAGCTGCTAGTCAGTCCTTGACTGACATTGCCAAGTATTCGATAGGCAGACTGCGGCCTCACTTCTTGGATGTTTGTGACCCAGATTGGTCAAAAATCAACTGCAGTGATGGTTACATTGAAAACTACATATGTCGAGGGAATGCACAAAAAGTGAAGGAGGGCAGGTGCGTGTTAAATCTTTAATGCCTGTTTTATCTTGTGTATTTTTGGGATAGGAAGTTTCAGTGACTGGAAGATGAGCCATGCACTAGCTTAGAGAAAATAGCTAGAGTAATCACTGGGAGGTGAATTAAAATCGTATGTTTGATCTATTCACTCTAGTCATTCTTTTTTTCCCATTTTATCCCTATTCTCTATGTAAGAGCATTTTAATGCAACTCTTTTCATCTCTAATGTATAATAATGTGAAATGAACCTTGTAGATTATATACAGTAGTCTCCCCTTATCCACTTTGTGCAGTTTCAGTTACCCATGGTCTACTACAGTCTGAAAATATTAAATGGAATATTCCAGAAATAATCCGTAAGTTTTAAATCACATACCCTTCTGAGTAGCATGATGAAATATTGTGCCATCCCACTCCATGCCACTCGGGACATGAATCATCCCTTTGTCCAGTGTATCCATGCTGTGTATGCTACTTGCCGGTTAGTCACTTAGCCTTCTCAGTTATCAGATCAACTGTTGTGGTATCACAGTGCTTGTGTTCAAGTAACCCTTATTTTACTTAATAATGGCCCCAATAACAGCAAAAGAGTAGTGGTACTGGCAATTTGGATATACCAAAGAAAAGCCTAAAGTGCTTCCTTAAGTGGAAAGGTAAAAGTTCTTGACTTAATAGGGAAAGAAAAAAAATTGCATGCTGTTTGCTAAGATGTACAGTAACAGTATATTTATTATAGTATATTGTTATAATTGTTCTGTTTTACTACTAGTTATTTTTGTTAATCTCTTATTATGCCTAATTTATAAATCAAACTTTACCACAGCTATGCATGTATAGGAGAAAACAGTATATATAGGGTTTGTACTATCCAGGGTTTCAGGCATCCACTGGGAGTCTTTGAACATATCCCTGGCAGATAAGGGGGGACTACTGTAGTCCAGGGTCAGCAAATGTTTTCTTAAGGTGCTAGATAGTAAATATTTTAGGCTTTGTGGTTCATTTGACAACTATCCAACTCTGCCTTTGTACAGGAAAAAGCAGCCTCAGATAATCCTTGAATGAATAGGTGTGGCTGTGTTCCAGTAAAACTTTATTTACATAAATAGTGGCTATCCCAGGGGTTATAGTTTGCCGACTTCTGATCTAGTCCAACCGTGGATGAAGCTCTGCTAGATCTCTTAGTATTCTTAGACTAGATTTCTTGTAAGGTAACTGCATTCATTTCTTGACAGTTCTAGGTCCTCAGATCCTTCTTATAACACCTTTGTTGGGCTGCTTTCTGTATCTGGAGTTAGACATGAATGAAATAGAATGTTTGAAAGCCAAAAGGTCCAACTCCTTTAATTTATGGATGAGCAAACAGAGGCCCAGTAACATTAAATAAAGACATTAATTAGTCATCTCACTAATTAGTAGGCTTAACTCATGTCTCAGAATTGTCAGCCTTACCTTTTGTATATGATTATCCTATTTTAAGATAGCTGTCATTTTCACTTATTTATTCATCATCCAACAGATACTTTCTCTGGGTAAAACATCCTTTGATTGTTTTGTATATATGATTCCCAGACACTTTATTGTTCTTGTTGGTTCTCATGTAAGCTACACAGGCCTGCTAGTAGCCCCCAATTTTTGCATTTCGGGGCATGAGAAAACACCTTATTTAGCTAAGGGTATACACTATGCTATGTGCTTGGGATTCAGCAGTGAAGAAGACAGCACTGGTTCCCACCATAGAGTTTAGTCCAGCAGGGAGCACTTAGAGTAAACAAATAGAGCTTAGTCCAGCAGGGAACACTTACATTAAACAAATAGAACTTAGTCCAGCAGGGAACACTTACATAAACAAATAGAGCTTAGTCCAGCAGGGAGCACTTGCAGTAAACAAATAGAGCTTAGTCCAGCAGGGAACACTTACAGTAAACAAATAGAGCTTAGTCCAGCAGGGAGCACTTACATTAAACAAATAGAGCTTAGTGCAGCAGGGAGCACTTACAGAAAACAAATAGAGCTTAGTGCAGCAGGAAGCACTTACAGTAAACAAATAGAGCTTAGTGCAGCAGGGAGCACTTACAGAAAACAAATAGAGCTTAGTCCAGCAGGGAGCACTTACATTAAACAAATAGAGCTTAGTGCAGCAGGGAACACTTACATTAAACAAATAGAGCTTAGTGCAGCAGGAAGCATTTACAGTAAACAAATAGAGCTTAGTCCAGCAGGGAGCACTTACAGAAAACAAATAGAGCTTAGTCCAGCAGGGCGCACTTACATTAAATAAAGAGAGTTTAGTCCAGCAGGGAGCACTTACATTAAACAAATAGAGCTTAGTCCAGCAAGGAACACTTACATTGAACAAATAGAGCTTAGTGCAGCAGGGAACACTTACAGTAAACAAACAGAGCTTAGTCCAGCAGGGAGCACTAACATTAAACAAATGGTAACAATGGAATAGAACCTCATTGTTGATAATGAAGCCAAAGAATCAAGAGGCTTTGAATAGCAAGCTTTGAGGTGATAATATGAGGACAGATATGGGTATAAACTCTTAATGAATGAAGGAGGGAAAAGTGACTAGAGCGGTAGGTGGTTGAGAAGTAGATAGTAGAAGGTGGTATTGATTTGAGCCTAGATGAGCAAGCATTTCTATAAGAGGGAGAGGGGAAGAATGGTCCAGAAATGGCATTGAGGAGTGATGAAGGTTCTGGTACCAACACTGGACTCTTAAGATGTGAGATGTGGAGATCTCATTCTCTGCTTTGATAGCACTGCAGGGCCAAGCAGTGTCCTCGGGAGAGGCTGTTTAATTTATTGACTAGGATATGTAGTGAACCTTCAGTGAAGAGTTTGAAGACACAGGGGAACACGGAGGACTTTGAGAAAAGAACTGGAGTTCCAGAGTGTACCATGGAGGAGTTGGGATGGAGGGGATGAACAAATAGCTTGGTTGGAGAAGAAGAAGTTTATTTTGATAGAGATTGCTTCTAATCTATAGATCATTTTGTGAAGAATTGCCATCTTGATATTAAGTCCTCCAATCCATGAATGTGGTATATCTCTCCATTTATTTAGGTTCCCTTTAGTTTCTCTTAACAATGTTTTACTTTTCAGTGTCCATGTGTTGCACACATTTTGTTAAATATATCACTTTTTAATGTTTTTGATGCTATCATGAAAACGTTTGAAAAAATTTTTAAATCTATTTCCAATTGTTGTGTTTAGAAATACAGCTGGTTTTTATATTGGCTGTGTTCTGCAACCTTGCTAAATTTAACTAATTTATTAGTAGGAGTAACTTCTTTTATAGATTCCTCAAGATTTTCTCTGTTCCCATTCGTAGTGTCTGTGACTACAGAGTTATACTTTTCCCTTCTATATTACCTTTTATTGCTGTATTATACTGGCTAAGACCTTTAATAAAACCTTGAAAGAAGTGGTGAGAGCAGATGTGCTTGACTTCTTCCTGACCTTAGGTAGAAAGCACTCAGTCTTTCACCATTAACTGTATCACCTGTGTGTTTTTTATAGATGCTCTTTGTTAGGTTTTTATCATGAATGTGTGTTGGATTTTATAAGAGGGGAAGGGGAAGAATGGTCCAGAAATGGCTTTGAGGAGTGATGAAGATACCAGTGCCAAGACTGGACTCTTAAGGTGTGAGATGTGGAGATGTGTGTTAGATGCTTTTTCTACGGCTATTGAGATGGTCATATTTTTCTTCTTTATTCTGTTAATACAGTATATTCCGTTTAGAATATTGAAGCAACTTTTCATTCCTGAAATAAACTCCACTTGGTCATGGTGCATCATATGTTTATCTTAACTAGATTCATTTGCTAATATTTTGTTAAGGATTTTTACTTCTGTGTTCATAAGTGTTATTTATCTATAGTTTTCTTGTGAAGTTTTTGTCTAGCTTTGGTATCAACTATTTGGTATGAAATGTTTGGTAGAATTCACAGTGAATCCATTTAGACTTGGAATTTTCTTTGTGGGAAGATTTTAAACTGTGATTTTGTTTTTTTGAAGAGATGTAGGACGATTCAGGTTGTCTATTTCTTGTATGAGCTTTGGTCATTTGTCTTTAAAGGAATTTATCCATTTCATCTAAATTACCAAATTTATTGGCATCAAGTTGTTCATACTGTCTCCTTACTATCCTTTATTGTCTATAGGAACTGTGAGCTAGCCCCTCTTACATTCTTGCCGTTGATAATTTGTGTCTTACCGCTTTTTCTTGAGTGGTCTGGCTGGAAGTTTATCAATTTTATTAATCTTTTTATTAGTTTCATTGGTTTCTTTTGGGTCCATTGATTTTTCTCGTTTTCTGTATTCAATTTCATTTATTTCTGCCCTTATTTGTATTTACTTCCTTCTGCTTGCTTTCAGTTTTATTTACTCTCCTTTTTTGTAATTTCATAAAGTGAAAACTTAGATCATTAGCTGTGTCACAGATTTTGATATGTTTTGTCCTCATTTTCATTTAACTGAAAATACTTTCTAATTTCCCTTGTGTTTTCCTCTTTCATCTATGGGTTATTTATCTTTCTGTCATTGATTTCTAGTTTAATTACATTTTGGTCAGAGAACATAATTTGCTTGATTAGAATGCTTTTAATTTATTGAGGTTTGTTTCATTGCCCAGCATATGGTCTGTCCTTGAGAATGTCCCATGTGCATTTGCAGAGAATGTGTGTTCTGTTGTTTTGTGGGTGGAGTGTTCTGTAGATGTCAGTTTGGCCAAGTCGATTGATAGTGTTATTCAAATCTTCTATGGATCTTTATGAATATTCTACAAAGATGTTTTGTCAGTTATTCTTTAGGAGTTTGAAATCTCTATAATTGTTGAATTGTCTTTGTTCTTTCATTTCTGTCAGCTTTTGTTTTATTTATTTTGTGATTCTGCTGTTCAGTGTCTAACATTTATAAGTGTTCTTTTTTCCTGCTGTATGTGCCCTTTTCTGTATGAAATGTTGCTTGAAATATTTTTTTGCCTTAAGTC